TTTGTTTCAACTGCTGTGAAACCAACGAGTTTCGAATATTGAGTCCATGGGTGAAGGCATGAACAGACCAATCGTCCGCAACCGGAAGCAGGTCCATCCGTTCCACTTGAAACTGGGACACGAATTCTTTAAGCATCTTATTATCTCTCTATTTCACATTAAAGAGGTTCGACTTCCTGGTCTCGACCTTGATGGCCCCAGCATGTGCTTTCACAAGGGAGTCTGCAAGCATGACAAACATGTCAGTAGAATTAGGGGTAGGTTGTGATACCATATCATAACTCCTTTTGACAACGTTTCCCTGAACTTTTTCAGCAGGACAGACTCGATTTGATCATCCTCCAAGTCGTTCCCTTTGATGGCGCACGTGTAGGAGGTCACATGCTCATTCGGATCGGTTATTTCATTGTACTTAGGAATCTCGGGCATACGGAACTTCTTAGGGATTGGCTTCGCAGCTGCGCTCAGAGGGAAAAGTTTTTGAACGAACTCCTTGGAATCTAGGACCTTCAATACTGGTTGTGCTCCTGGGATATGATCGACCTAAGAATTGTAGGCTTCCACTTTTTTGCCATTGGCTTCGATTTTCTTTTCTCCCGATTCCACCTGTTTTGTCAGCTCCTCGAGCATCTTTATGATTCCCAAGTTCAGCTTCATCTGGCCTCTCTGTGATCGGTTCGTTTCTGCGGGTGACTTCCCGGGATGGCTCGGGCTCAACCCTGCTCGGGGCGCAATTTTGGTTCTGCAGCTAGGCTATCATTGCCTATTGAGCTTGTAGCATGTCGAAGATCTCCCGCAAGTTGATCCCATCACCTTCACCGGCGTGCGCATCTTGGGAAATCGATTGGACTCCCCTGCGGACGCTGTTCTCGGGATCGGTAGGCAAACTGGCATCCGCAGCTTGAACTCCGTTGAGATCGACATGGGGCACCTTGTTACCGGATGCTATATTGTTGTTTTCTCCGTGGTGACCGGACTTAGCATCCACATTTAGAGGGACTAACCGGGAGTTTGACATTTTAACCTTTGGCCTAAAATTAAAGACACTTCAAAGAATAAGTGTAAAATAGGGTGCATTATAGAAGTTTGTATCAAATAGCCACTATTATCCTTAGCCCCACGGTGGGCGCCAAACTGTCACGACCCGGATTTCCCACCCTCGCGAGTCGTGATGGCGCCTACTAGTGAAAGCTAGGCAAGCCAACCAACTGAATTATTTGACTTGTTTCCATTTTCAAATTCATTAACAACTTAGAACCAACAATTAATAAACAACATAATTTATCGGGCGGAAGAATAAATTTCAAACTTAAAAAATACTACTAATACAATTCCTTAACAAAACTACCCAAGATTTGGTGTCACAACTTCACAGACTGTCTAAGAGTACTACAAATAAGGGTCTGAAAGAAATAACAAAATACTGTCTCTGGGACTACATAAAAGAAACAGGAAAATAGATAGAGGGAGACTCCAAGGCCTGCGGACGCCTGCAGGACTACCTCGGGTCGCCTGATAGGCAAGAAGCTGAAACCTCACTGCGGTCCGAAATCTGCAGCACTGGAATCTGCACAAAAAAGTGCAGAGTGTAGTATCAGCACAACCGACCCCATGTGCTGGTAAGTGCCTAGCCTAACCTCGGCGAAGTAGTGACGAGGCTAGGACCAGACTACTAAATAAACCTGTGCAATTCCGAGCCAGGCTTCGCAAATGCGAAGCCTGCAGGCCTGCAATAGAACAGCTGAAACCTGCAATTTTCCCAAGTCTGATTCTACTCCGTGGCCTATCCAAAACTTACCCGAGCCCTCGGGGCTCCAAACCAAACATGTACACTAACCCAAAAATATCATACGAACTCGTTCGTGCATTCAAATGACCAAAAATAACATCAACAACTATGAATTTAGCACCAAAATCATGAAATCACTCAAGATCATCAAATTTTTCTAATTTTTTCAAATAAGGTCCGTTTTACGTCATTTCAAGTCCGTTTCTTACCAAATTTTACAGGCTCGACCCAAATCATATATAAGACCTGTACCGGGCTCCGGAACCAAGATACGGGCCCGATACCATCAAATTCCAAAAACATTTCATTTTCAAAAACTAATCGATTTTTCAGAAAATAATTTTCTTTAAAAATTCATTTCTCGGGCGAGGGACCTCGAAATTCGATTTCGGGCATACGCCCAAGTCCCATATTTTCTTACGGACCGCCCGGGATCGTCGGAACACGGATCCGGGTCTCTCAAGCTAAGGTTAGACCAAACACTTACCTCGATGCTACGAACACAATTCAAGCCTCTATTATAGCTTTACCTCTTGATTCCACCACTAATTCGCTCGTATCTAGTCACAAGTTACTTAATTACATCAATATATGCTAAATGAACCAATTCTAATGCATGCAAATAAGTTTTCTAAAGTTTTTCCCAAAAAGTCAAAAATCGACCCCGGGCCCAGATGGTTAAACCCGAGGTTCGAACCAAAACCCAACTATCCATTCACCTACGAACTCAATTATACAATTTGTTTTGAAATCGGACCTCAAATCGAGGTCCAAATCCCCAAAATTTGAAAAACCTAGGTTCTACCCAAAACACCCAATTTTTCCCATGAAAATCATTGATTTTGAGTTGAAATCATGTGAAAAGATGTTAAGGATTGAAGAAAACTAGTTAGAAACGACTTACAATTGATTTGGAGAAGAAGTTGCCTTTGAAAAATCGCCCTAGAGTGTTTATGTTTTGAGAAGATGTGAAAAATGGTTAAAAATTCGTCTAAGTATGGATTTTACAAGTCTCTGATGTCGCAATTGCGACCAGGGTTCGCAATTTGCGAACCCAGACTCTGCTACTATCGCATTTGCGAAGAAAAATGTCGCATTTGCGACACAGCCAGCTTTTAGGTCTTCTTCGCATTTGCGATAGACCTGTCGCAAATGCGAAGTCGCATTTGCGATGGTTAAGTCGCATTTGCGACGACTGGCCAAAGAGGGGACGCATCGCATTTGCGAGGTTGGCTGGCCTGGGCTATGTTCGCATTTGCGACATAGCCTTCGCATTTGCGAACTCGCAATTGCGAGCCAGGCTTCGAAATGCGAAGCCTGCAGGCCTGCAATAGAACAGCTGAAACCTGCAATTTTCCCAAGTCCGATTCTACTCCGTGGCCTATCCAAAACTTACCCGAGCCCCCGGGCTCCAAACCAAACATGTACACTAATCCAAAAATATCATACGAACTCGCTCGTGCATTCAAATCACCAAAATAACATCAATAACTATGAATTTAGCACCAAAATCATGAAATCACTCAAGATCATCAAATTTTTCTAATTTTTCCAAATAAGGTCCGTTTCACGTCATTTCAAGTCCGTTTCTTACCAAATTTCACAGGCTCGACTCAAATCATATATAAGACCTGTACCGGGCTCCGGAACCAAGATACGGGCCCGATACCATCAAATTTCAAATACATTTCATTTTCAAAAACTCATCTATTTTTAAGAAAATAATTTTCTTTAAAAATTCATTTCTCGGGCTAGGGACCTCGGAATTCGATTCCGGGCATACGCCCAAGTCCCATATTTTCTTACGGACCTCCCGGGATCGTCGGAACACGGGTCCGGGTCCGTTTACTCAAAATATTGACCAAAGTAAACTTAAATTCATTTTAAAGGCAGAATTTATTATTTTTCACAGATTTTTCATATAATGGCTTTCCGGCTACGCGCCCGGGCTGCACACGTAAATCAAGGTGAGGTAAAAGGAGGTTTTTAAGCCTCGGAACACTTAATTTATTTCTAAAACAAGTGATGACCTTTTGGGTCATCACACAAACTGTTTACCCTCAAAATCGGATAACAATTAAATTTGTAAGTAGTTTTAAGGATACCCATATTAATTTGATACAAAGCGATAAATTGAGTTATATTGAGCAAACAAAGATGAAATCAATTCAAACCACACGAGGAGGATAATTCTAGCCTTAGTGAAATATTCACCCTCGATCTGGGCTCGCAATGGCCAGCACTGATGAACAAGAAAAAGAGCTAATAACAGAGAAAATAATACTATATTGCTTGGGAATGCGTGTTACAATATGTTTCATGAATTATCAGACCCCCTTTATATAGTAGGGGAATTCTACTCTAGGTACAATTCCACAAAAGGTAAAAAATCTTCCGTTTAACTTATTGCCAGTTCTTCATCGATACGTGCCGAGATCCATGCCGTGATATACGGCCAGTCGCGGATACTACGGCCTTCTGTTGGTCGTGCTTGATTGCCTGCCAGTGTTCTTCGAGGTCGTTCAGGATTAGGACCGATCCCGGACTATGACCCCTATATTCCCGAGGGTGGGCGTCATGCCTCCGGACTCTGACTCGACGAGGCCCTTGCCTCGATTTTGGTCCCATGTCATCATGTCTCGAGCTTGGCTTATCATATCGGAGATCGGGGTTTACCATGAGCCCGGTTCCACCCGTATACAAAGACTACAACTACTTCCCTACTTGAAAGTTTTCTTCTGTTGAGTAGTTCGTAAAGCAGCTGCTGCAATCTAATTTCTTCTCCTTTGCAATTTAATTTCTTATCCTTTATATACCTGCTATTATATAACAGCACTAACTCAGTGATGCATCATAAAGCTAATTTGTTCATGTTCAACACCTCAAAAGAGCTAGTTATGGCTTATATAAAAGGAACATCTTTAATAAAATTGATCATCATCTTAGTCTCAATACATACCTCTCTATCTAGCTAAGAAAAGGGAGAGAAGCTTAAAGGTACAGGAATGTTGGGTGCTTAGATCAACTTGGAACCCAAGTTCTTCAACGCATAAAGTCAAAAGTATTGCCGTGAAAAATTTGCAGATTCAATTTGGGAAGAAAAACAGCTCTCTGTTCAATTGAAATATCAATAACAAATACGATATTGAAGGGTGTCCCATTCAGCAATGCTGTAATAAACTAAAAACTAAAATAAGTATTAACTCTCAGATAATGAAACATCAATTTTTGCTTGACCATTATAAATAGTACATTCAGATAGAATGAAATACATCTCATTATTGAGCTAGCTGAGATGAATGTGTAAATAAAAAGGTTAACAAGGAAATTTCATGGTGGCTATGAGTAATATATAGCAGAGATATGATGAACCATCTTCTCGATACGCTTCTGACTTCTTGTTCATAGTTATGTTGCAGTTTCTTCTCTTTTTACTTCGCTACTTGTAAATGATTAACCTCCTGCTAACCAATTTGGATTTTGTATAACTGGTCAAGATCCAATGCTCCCTGCATCCATATTTCCAGGGTTAGATATGTATCAGGAGCACCATCTCATTTCATCATGAGCAATACCTCTTTTACTATCAAAGACATCCTATTATCATGACAACATTAATACTCCAGAGAGAGCAGTTTAAGACAACTGATGTATCATGTTTCGTAGTTTTTCCACTTCACTCTGTATTTAAAACCAAAGTTCTTCTACGACTGACTTATCTTACACCCCAACTTGACATGTCAAATCCTCAGAGAACTGTTTTTCCACATTGCCATGCAATTTCTCTAGAATTCTCCATGTTACAGGATCAGGTTCTAGTCCATTCTTTCTCATTTCACCAAGAATCTGATAAGCTTCTCTCTTCCAACCCAGTGTGCAAGCACCATTAATAATAATGTTGTAATTGACGACACAAAGAGTAACCCCCGACAATCTACCAATTCATATAAGAAATCACAAGCATCATTCAATTTGCCAGAGCGACAAAGCCCCTTGAGAATGGCTGCATATAAGTAACTGTCATGAACTCCTGAGGGCCAAACAACATCGTTCCAGAATCTTTTGGCTTCATCAACTTTGTTGAACTCAAACAACCCGTCTATAATAATAGTATACGTCGTGCAATCAGCAGCAGTGCCACCACTTATCATGCTACTGAAAACCTCCATAGCTTCATTTAGCCAATGTAACTTGAACAACCCTTGGATAACTGCATTATATGTCACAACACTGGGTTTCAAACCTTTTTCAGGCATAACTCTATGCAATAACTCAAGAGCTTCTTCAACTTTCCCGAGTTTTAAAAAACCACTAATAACAGTTGTAAACGTCACACCATCAGGTGCACAAAACTTCCCCGTCATCATATCTTTGAAAACCTTTTGAACCTCTTCAATTCTTCCCATTTTGCAGAAGCCATTAATAACAGTATTCAGGGTGATCACGTCCGGTTGACATTGAGTTTGAAGCATGGTTACAAGAACATTCAAAAGCTCAGTTGGATTGTCAACAGCACAAAGAGCTCTGAGATATATGTTATAAATCCTTGTTCTGTCAAGGTCTAATGTATTATTTAACATGACATTGAGGACTTCCCTGGCCTTAACAAGATCATATACATGAATCAAACCTTCTACAAATAACTTGTAAGTAAATTCTGAGGGCACGTAGCCAAATTGAATCCCTTCCTCCAACAACTGATACGCCCTGAAACAATCACCTTCTTTGACGAGACCATGTACAATCGAATTATATGACACTAAGCTTGGATTGAACCCTCTTTTTCTCATCATGTAAACTATCCTAGCAGCCCCATTAAACCTCCCAAATCTACAAAGAGAATCTATCATTTGGGCATATACAAAACCCTCAGCCACACTTTCGCCCCGGGGCATATCTTCGGCAATATTAAACACTTCATGGAAGAACCCTTCCCTACACAAGGAATTTATCACATCACAGAATGCTGCATTTTTAACATGCATATCCTCTTCAGTGAGCATCACATCCCAAAGCTTCCTAATCAGCTGTTTTCCATAGTCCACATCCCTCTTCCTCAGAACCCCGCGAATCAAAGCGCTATAACTCAGCGCATTAGGTATAACTCCACACTCAGACATTTCATCAAACAGCTTCTCTGCTTCCCCAACTTCGCCAACGTCACAATACCCATTGATCAAAGTTGTATAAGAAACAGCATTAGGAGAATGCCCTCTCTTTCTCATATCAACAAATAGCTGATGGGCATCTGTAGTTCTTCCAAAACCGCAAAGCTGATGGATCAGACGGTTGTAATTCATTAACGACGGCACAAACTGAGGTTTCTGGCAGAACAAAGCGGAGATAACACGTAAAGTCGCTTGTGGAGTACCCGCATGTAGTAAGCGAGCAATGAGAACATTACAGGTGCGCTCATCAGGGACAGTTAAATGGGAGGAAACGGCGAGAAGGAATCGCTGGTGGGCTTCGGAAAAGCGGTGAGCATCACAGAGAGCGTGAACGATGCTGCTGAGATTAAGAGAGTCCGGATGGTAGCCGTGAAGTCGAAGCTCGTCGAGAAGTCGGAGAGCTTCGTTAACATTTCCATCAATAGCACAAAGCTTGTGAATTCGTCTGGTCCAGTAAGTTTTATCGTCGATCAAGTTCCGACCAATTTCAAATTCTTGTGCTTCAGCGCTTCGTTGTTGTTGAATTACAGAAGGTGAAAGAAATGTGGAGAAGAGCGAAAGAGATGAAGTGCAGGTTTTGGCAGAGTTGTGGAGAGGTATCGGAAATGGAATTTTGCAAAAACCCATTATACAGTAGTAATGCACATAAGGTCGCTCCTCCGCTAGTTTAGTTGTTCAAATGATCTTAAAAATGAGTAATACTGTAAGATAGAAATGAACCTCGTTGGTCCAATATTCCTTAGTCTACTTCGCTCCTTCGGCCCATGAGGTCGGCCCATGCTCAATGTATAGTTTTTTGTGTTAAAATAGCACGGGCTAGCCAGTTTTCGGATTGGTCATTTAAAAATAGCCAGTATTTGTAAAGTCATTGAAAAATAGCCATTATTTTGCTGCAACAGGGACCGGTCCAGCATAATATACTGGAGATCGATGCACATGTGTATGAACTTCCAGCATATTATGCTGGAACTCCAACACGCGGAAAGTTCTAGCATAATATACTGGAGATTGGAGCACCTATGTATGAACTTCCAGCATATTATACTGGATCGGTATAGCATATTATACTGGACCGGTATAGTGTACTGGAGTTCCAGTATACTTATGCTGAAACTCAGTATATTATGCTGGAGTATTTTCCGAATTTTTAACAGTATTTTCGTTCATATTTATCTTACATGATTACTTTTGAAACTGTGGCTATTTTTGAATGACCGCCTGTAAATCTAGCTATTTTTGAATTTCTCCCGTTTTTTGCTGAAGAATTAATCCAAATGGCCGTCCACTTAACCGCTTGAACTAAAAATAGTCGGTGGAGGTATAATGCATGCATAAATTATGTATTATATCTATATAATTGTGTTGATGAATGTATAATCCATGTATATGGCTAGAAAAAAAAACAATGAATATGGCCGGCTATTTGTGTAAATATCCCTTTGTTGTTTGGTCGTGCTTCTAAAATAAGCTTATTTTGAAATGTGCTTTTCTCAACGGTGCTTTTCAAATAAATATTTTTCTTGAGAAGCAGTTTGTGTTAGGCTAATCAATTTAAAAATAATTTTTGAGCGGCAATTAGTGTATAGTCAAGCTTTTAAAAAATTCTTCTAAATGAATTTTTCTCAAAAGTATTTTCAGAAAAGTGTTGTGAGAAACTATTTTTTTCTTCTTCTCAAAAACTGCTTATGCTTCTATTCAAAAGCACTTTTTCATTCTAAAAGTTTGACCAAGCACCTTAATATTAGAATAAAAGCACTTTTGGCAACAAAAAAAAATACTTTTGACAAAAAAAGCACGGCCAAACAAGCTACTAGTGTGTTAGTAGGTCGGTCAAATAACTTCCCTTACCACAATTTTTCTATTTTTTAAAATTAATAATTATAAATATCTTTTATTGGTAATTATTAATTAATTAATTAATCATAAACATCTAGTAGTTTCTATTATATAACTCTTTTTAAAAATTCAAATACAGAATCAAGACTTAAAATTCTTAATTTAGTACTCCTATTAGTGAAGCCTATGTGGGTAAATCTAAGCTTATTATCTCTTGGCTCGCAGGAAATAAATTTAACTGTAAGCCGCTGATTAAAGCGACCTATTTTTACCGGCGAAACAACCCTCCCAAACACCAAACCTGCAATTTCTCAACAAAACTAAAATAAAAAATTAACTAACATCCATAGAATATTGAAGGTGTAGATAAGGGTTTGAGTTGAAAGTTTGTGAAGTTGAAGTGTTGGAAGCTTTGTCAAATTTGGGATTTTCTTCAATATGTGTAATTTTCTTCGTTAAAAAATACTGTTATTTATATATTTGATAGAATTAGTATTTGTTAGTAGTGCTTTTAATCACTCCAAATATACTTGTCGAATAAACAGTAATCAAAATCCTTATAACTATCCAACTTTGTCTGACAGAAAAAACTTAAAAATAAGAACAATAGTTAAATTTATAACGTTAAATAGAGGCATATATAATCGGCAATGTTAAAATGTTATACTGAAATCGAAGCATAATCCGCAAAGTAAAAATATTAATTTTACCACTTAGGAAGTAATAGGCGTGATGTTAGTTTTAAATATGCTGTTAGATCATTTGTGCCAAAAACCACTAACTAAATTTGGTATAATTTTAGTATTTAGATTAGATAAAGAATGATAGAAGTTCGTATTTATGAAAACAAACATTTATTTTAATTTTTGACAAACTTAGTTTATCCATATATATTTATTGCCAATTGATTGAAATTCTGAATATTTAATAAAACAATCAATCTAAATGTAATTAGTGCTATAGAATTTATTTTGAATCTGTGTTACTTTAATTATATAATATGTAATATTTGATTTTTTGTTAATTTTCCAAGTTTATTATTTAAAGTAATTAAAACATTTTCTTTCATTTGTTATAGTTCATATTTATGTTAGTGATAGATAGAAAAGCAACAATAATTAGTATGTTGACAAGAAGTCTCATTTGATCTATTTATGTATTGGTTTACGTATTAGAATTTATTGATTATTGTTTGACCAAAAAATAATAGAATGGACTAGAAATCGGAGCTCTAAATGATTCATTTTGGACTCAAAAGCAATTAAGGTCCTTTGGTTAAACTAATTAAATAAAGATATAAGGGATCGATCCTAGTTAAAGATAAATACCTCAGATCTAAAATCGGTCCACGTGGACAACGCAGAAAATGTTAGAATGGATTTAATGCAATATGTATTAAATGTTCAAAGTTCATAGTAAGATGAGGATAACAAGCATTAAATAATAATAAATGAATTCACCCAATATTTAATGAGGTGGATGATTCCTCACAATGATGTGAGATAAACAACTATGAGAATATTGGAGACTCTCTCGGATCTGATGTGAAAAGGTGTCGAATAAACAAAGAATCGAATCTCTTTAGAAAAAGTAGTGTTTGTATTTATCTAGAGAGTTCTTATCAGAATAATAATACATGTCTTTCACCTTCTCTTTCTTTCTATTTATATGGGACATGCCCCCAATCTGACCTAAAAGTACAAGTACCGAGAATATTCAATGGAATATTCTCCTAAATATCCTATTACAAAACTAGCCGTTACTATTACTCCTGGCCTTCGACCTCGGCCATGGTTGGCTGTTCGGCGGTGAACCCATCAGTCATTGGTCGACCTCGGCTAAACTGCTTATAATAGCACCTCTTCGTGCCGAATATCCTTAGTCAGATTTTGACCCATACTGTTAGTCCCTTCGCTTATCGAGGTCGTCTCTCGCGCGCCCTGGATGAGCGGACTTCACTAGTCGTGGTTTAGAGCTTTTAGGTGGGCAGGTCGGGCAATTACACTCATGGCGAGGAGATAACGTGGCGCTTTGTAAGCCATAACTTTACCGTTACGTCGGATCACAATGACGGCATGACATCATGCGTCATTATTACGCATTTTTCCGGTGCGTTATGTCATTTTCCGCACCCCTACCGTTTCGATATTTGTGTGGCGACGATTGGCATTTTCGATTAAGGCGCCTGAATTTCTTATAAATAGGGACACTGATCTTCTTCTTGATCCTTTATGTTTCCAAATACTTTAACCTCTACATCTTCCTTCTTCTCCATTATTCTCGATCTCGTAGCCTCCATTTTCATAGCCCAGTTCTTCATGTTTTTTCTGCTACTCTTACCCCTTCTGTGTCCGTAATTCTTTCACATACAAACAACCAAAAATGGTTAATGCATCTTCCACTTCTGGGGGTGACTTTGACCCGATTCCATTGGCAGTGAGCAACCCCCCTCATGATGATGGAGCTGCCATTGTTGCAAAGGATGAGAGTTTTCCCACCATAGATGAGATTATCCCTCGCAAGGAGAAGACTAGGTAGGACTTCTCAAAACGCCCGAGTACGATCCTGAGCCCGTAGAATCAGAAATGGACGTTGCGGTCCTTGTCGATTTAAAGGCCAAGTTCAGAATACCGGCCACGATGTAGTATAGGTTCACCGCCCTGGATATTGCGCATTCTACGTGTATCCGTTTTTTGTGGGCTATTCTCTTCCTTTTCCTTCATTGGGGGAGGACTTATGTCGTTATTACAGTGTTTGCCCGGCCCAGCTTTCCCCTTACATTTACAAGCTCATTCTTATGTTGACAAAGTATGCGGAGCTGGCCAGTCGAGGGATATCTTTCCACCATCTACTGCACCTCTACGCGCCCAGTTTCCATAAGGGGATTATGTTACACCTTCATCATCGTGGGGGCAAGAGTTTGGTGGTGAAGATGGCCAATCGTCGGTTCTAGTTCAACTTTTTCTACGTCAAGATCGAGGACGTAGCGAGGAATGCTAATGATTTTCCTAAGGCGTGGAACTATGCTCGTAAGTACTTCCGCCGAATGTTCACTTCGCTTATTTTGATAGTAGCGTAAGCGCTCTTATATATATATATATTGTTCAGCACAGAAAGAGCCCCCTCCGTTGGTTGTGGACATCCACGACTGGGTTAGCCAGGTTTTGCCTCATACTGTGGGGATCCGTGAATGGCCGGCCTTTTGCAAGAAGTTCGGGCCCAAGCCTCCGGCGATTGGTGATCTTTCAATTGCTTCGACCTTTGGGTCGTCATATTCTTTTCTTTTTGAATCGTGGAGAGTTAACCTAACCTTTTGTTTTTCTATGTTAGGTCGAAGAGCTTCGAGGAGGGCGAGGGCTCCTACTCCAACATTTCGCCAATCGAGCGTTGCTTCGGGCTCCGTTCTTATAGCGGCTGCGGATGAGCCTGCCCAACCGACCACTTCTTCTCAACCCCAGGCATTAAGCAGATCAGGTCAACCATCGGTGGCTCCAGCAGCAAAGACTCCGGCCTCTCCCATGCTGCATCTGGTATATTCGTCGCCAAGTGATAGGGACTTGGTTCCCCGCAAAAGGAGAGTGGTGGATGTGGGCGATGGGACCACCCGAGCAGTGGACTCTTTTTGGGATGACCATGGGCTGCCCACTACTGTACCGGAGAGCGATGTTATTCCCCCGCCTGAGATGGCGTTGTCTACTGGGGTCGCGAAAAGGTCGCCTTAGCCTGAGATTGGTGATGGAATTGGCGGGCCATCTGAGGCTGCAGATGTCGTGCTAGTGATCGAGTCGTCGTCCTTGGAGCCGGTCAGCGTTCCTTCGTCTGCCGAGGAGAGAGCAAAAGGCAT